ATATTTTATGACTTGGGGCTCCCCGCGTGCTAGTTTGTACGTGAAGTGTGTGGGTTACAGTGAGGGCTGCGTCCCACCCGCCTGTGTGGATTCACAGGAAGTGTGAGTTACGAAGTCTGAAGAAAATGTTGAACGGCCTCTGCTGGGATGACGACTACACCATAGCTCAGTGGTTAGAGCATCGCTGGCTACAAGCGAGGGTCCCTGGTTCGAGTCCTGGTGGTGACAGTCAATTTTTTCTTCAGACTTTTCCCGTTTGTCTCTTTCCCTCAAACCAGTCAATATTTTATGACTTGGGGCTCCCCGCGTGCTAGTTTGTACGTGAAGTGTGTGGGTTACAGTGAGGGCTGCGTCCCACCCGCCTGTGTGGATTCACAGGAAGTGTGAGTTACGAAGTCTGAAGAAAATGTTGAACGGCCTCTGCTGGGATGACGACTACACCATAGCTCAGTGGTTAGAGCATCGCTGGCTACAAGCGAGGGTCCCTGGTTCGAGTCCTGGTGGTGACAGTCAATTTTTTCTTCAGACTTTTCCCGTTTGTCTCTTTCCCTCAAACCAGTCAATATTTTATGACTTGGGGCTCCCCGCGTGCTAGTTTGTACGTGAAGTGTGTGGGTTACAGTGAGGGCTGCGTCCCACCCGCCTGTGTGGATTCACAGGAAGTGTGAGTTACGAAGTCTGAAGAAAATGTTGAACGGCCTCTGCTGGGATGACGACTACACCATAGCTCAGTGGTTAGAGCATCGCTGGCTACAAGCGAGGGTCCCTGGTTCGAGTCCTGGTGGTGACAGTCAATTTTTTCTTCAGACTTTTCCCGTTTGTCTCTTTCCCTCAAACCAGTCAATATTTTATGACTTGGGGCTCCCCGCGTGCTAGTTTGTACGTGAAGTGTGTGGGTTACAGTGAGGGCTGCGTCCCACCCGCCTGTGTGGATTCACAGGAAGTGTGAGTTACGAAGTCTGAAGAAAATGTTGAACGGCCTCTGCTGGGATGACGACTACACCATAGCTCAGTGGTTAGAGCATCGCTGGCTACAAGCGAGGGTCCCTGGTTCGAGTCCTGGTGGTGACAGTCAATTTTTTCTTCAGACTTTTCCCGTTTGTCTCTTTCCCTCAAACCAGTCAATATTTTATGACTTGGGGCTCCCCGCGTGCTAGTTTGTACGTGAAGTGTGTGGGTTACAGTGAGGGCTGCGTCCCACCCGCCTGTGTGGATTCACAGGAAGTGTGAGTTACGAAGTCTGAAGAAAATGTTGAACGGCCTCTGCTGGGATGACGACTACACCATAGCTCAGTGGTTAGAGCATCGCTGGCTACAAGCGAGGGTCCCTGGTTCGAGTCCTGGTGGTGACAGTCAATTTTTTCTTCAGACTTTTCCCGTTTGTCTCTTTCCCTCAAACCAGTCAATATTTTATGACTTGGGGCTCCCCGCGTGCTAGTTTGTACGTGAAGTGTGTGGGTTACAGTGAGGGCTGCGTCCCACCCGCCTGTGTGGATTCACAGGAAGTGTGAGTTACGAAGTCTGAAGAAAATGTTGAACGGCCTCTGCTGGGATGACGACTACACCATAGCTCAGTGGTTAGAGCATCGCTGGCTACAAGCGAGGGTCCCTGGTTCGAGTCCTGGTGGTGACAGTCAATTTTTTCTTCAGACTTTTCCCGTTTGTCTCTTTCCCTCAAACCAGTCAATATTTTATGACTTGGGGCTCCCCGCGTGCTAGTTTGTACGTGAAGTGTGTGGGTTACAGTGAGGGCTGCGTCCCACCCGCCTGTGTGGATTCACAGGAAGTGTGAGTTACGAAGTCTGAAGAAAATGTTGAACGGCCTCTGCTGGGATGACGACTACACCATAGCTCAGTGGTTAGAGCATCGCTGGCTACAAGCGAGGGTCCCTGGTTCGAGTCCTGGTGGTGACAGTCAATTTTTTCTTCAGACTTTTCCCGTTTGTCTCTTTCCCTCAAACCAGTCAATAATAATAATAATAATAATAATAATATGAAACTCGGATGTTGAGCCATAAATAAATGTAGAAGAGAAAAGGACATATGGATACGAGTTAAGAGTAACTCTCCATCACTGTAACATGATACTTTATACAGTCAGAAAGTGCAATAACTAGGCACAAAACTGACAGAGTACTGAAACATTCGACGTCCTGACACCTAGCTTCAACACATCTCCGTAGCGCTAACCGACAGCCTTCCAACTTGGAAGGTTCAGAGTTATGGAAAGACCAAAGAGGGGAAGGCAAGCGCAACGAAAACGAGCAAAAGCTACAGTCCCAACGGAACAAAGAATGTCGATTGTTACTGGACGATGACGAGACCAGTACGATATTTGACAAAGCACACTTTCTGACTGTATAAAGTATCATGTTACAGTGATGGAGAGTTACTCTTAACTCGTATCCATATGTCCTTTTCTCTTCTACAATAATAATAATAATAATAATAATAATACGGTACGATGATCTAGCTCCGCGAATGCACATAATAGCTGACCGTAATAATGCAAAGACGAGGCGACAGCATACATATGTCGTCATAATAATAATAATGCCTTGCGCCCTTGACGATGGCGGAGGGTAGATTGTAGTTTCCTGTAACCAAAAGCCTCTTTAAGGGGCATCAAAAGACAATTTGCCAAGATGAAGGATGTTAACACAAATGAAGAGAATAATTGTGGAAGAGAAAAAGACATATGGATACGAGTTAAGAGTAACTCTCCATCACTGTAACATGATACTATATACAGTCAGAAAGTGCAATAACTAGGCACAAAACTGACAGAGTACTGAAACATTCGACGTCCTGACACCTAGCTTTAACACATCTCCGTAGCGCTAACCGACAGCCTTCCAACTTGGAAGGTTCAAGGTTATGGAAAAGACCAAAGAGGGGAAGGCAAGCGCAACGAAAACGAGCAAAAGCCACAGTCCCAACGGAACAAAGAATGTTGGAAGGCTGTCGGTTAGCGCTACGGAGATGTGTTAAAGCTAGGTGTCAGGACGTCGAATGTTTCAGTACTCTGTCAGTTTTGTGCCTAGTTATTGCACTTTCTGACTGTATATAGTATCATGTTACAGTGATGGAGAGTTACTCTTAACTCGTATCCATATGTCTTTTTCTCTTCCACATTTATTTATGGCTCAACATCCGAGTTTCGAAGAGAATAATTGTATGAAGAAAAAGAAAGAAAAAGAACTTCACTAAGCCGACCTCTACAATCAACACTACGGAAGAAAACCAGGCGGAATGCCCAAAACCAACATGAAACGAATCCAATCATAGTGCAACTAACTTCAGACAAGAACAATACAAAATCCAGACATCCGAATGTGATGTAAATGGCCATTGTCTCTCAGCTCCTCACAGGCGTCCCTCAGCCACCGCCAACTCATGCAGTGCGTTGACTGGTCGGTGGTACGATGATCTAGCTCCGCGAATGCACATAATAGCTGACCGTAATAATGCAAAGACGAGGCGACAGCATACATATGTCGTCATCTCTGCATACTTCTTTTTCTCTCCCCTGTAAAGCAGACCACACAAACGCTTGATGAAACGCGAGCACTCTTGCACACAACAACCGGCCGTGGTGAAATGAGAGGAGTGAATGTACCACGATCCACATTGATTATGCATTCAGCAAACTCAGATTTCTTTCTGCGCTCGTGCTCTGCCAAAACGCAGCATAGGAAGGCGCATCAGGGTGAAATACTCGAACGCCCATGTAGGCGTTCTGGGCCCGGGTCCACATCCCCTCGCGCGAATGTCTGGTCGGGCATCATCCGCTGTAATCGTAGACGCCGCGACAAACACCTCACCAGAGAGTGGCGCGAGCACTGGCTCCACAGCAACATCCACGCACACTTCAGTCAGCAAATCAGCCAGGATGTCTCGCACTTCGTTATGCCGTATTGTCGGGAATCTTCCAGTCGGGCAGCTCATGGCATGGGCTGCACTAAATGGACGGCCACAGGAGCAGGTAAACAGGACATCCGCCAGTGCCCAGTCGTACCGCAGCGCAAAAGCATCATGGAAATCTCCTTTCGAGAGGTGGTAACCATGGTCCCGCAGTGGCAGTGGGTTGAGCCAGCTGGACACCCCTCGGGACGCCAGGTGGCCAAGTAGACGAGCCCCATCAAGCGATGCAGCCTGCTCCACCAGCTTGAAGTCATTTTCACTTGATGCAGCTCGCTGCTTGCCGGTGCATCTTTTTGGGTTAAAAGCAGCCTCCCTTATGCATTCAGTCCGGCGTCTTTCCCAGGATGTGTTGTTCTGGTTGACTAGTTCAGCAACCTGAGCCTCTGTCATTTTCACTGACGCGCCAAGTTCCGTCTGACTCATCCTCTGGAACGACGGGATTTCCAGACCACCAAACCGGGTGGGCAGTCTCAGCATGCGTAAGTCCTCCTCGGTGAAGGCACCACGACCCGTCAGTGCTGGGAGAAACTTGAAAGCGATGATATTGTCTAAGCTCTTGACGCACTCATCCGGGAGGGGCACAGTGCGGAAAAGGTACACCCACCTACACCGTAAACCATAGGTTAGTGCTGCATAGGCAGCATGTGGTTCCGTCTTGGCAAACCAAGACAGCTTCCGCAACTCGCGCGACCAACCATCCACCATCTTCCTCACCCAGACCAGCCACCGCCTCAGGCTCACCAACAAATGACCCGTCGTCCTGTGGTGTGCTGGAGTGTGATATTGTTAGGTACAAGTACATTATGTCATTTCTCTTAGCATGTTTCTTTTCTGTCATACTACTGAGAGTGTATGGCATACTTATTCTATGACAGTGCTCGCTTCATTGAATTTTCCTGTGTTTGAGTAGGGTTCCAATTTTCTTATCACATTTTTGCTTTCATGCAATTGTTTTCATTACTTGACTTGTGTTCTATTCCTCCTATTCCGGTTTACCGCCTGGTATGTTAGCGGCCATCACTGAACCCAAATATTCGCAAATATTTTTAGTCCTCTTTTCTCCTCTCCTTTTGTAGACGCCTGAACCATAATCAACTTGCAAGCCTTCCTACAAATGTATTTGCCAACCTACCAAAGCTTGCGGAACTGTAAGTTAACCGTCATTCCGGGTTGTTGGGTCCAAAGGGTCCCCAGGGTAGGATTTTTGAAATATTTTTACTTTGCTGCATCAAATCTCCTGGAAATTTCTTGTATTCCTCAACAACACAATACCCTAGATAAGTACTCAATCTGCGGACAGACCTGTTTCATCTCTTGTGGACTCATGAGCGCAGCACAGAGGAAATATGGCCAAATATGATGACAATGAAAAAATTCCAAAATCCTATTTTAATTAAACCAGGCCGAACGTTCCCTGTCATAGTGCTTAAACTGACAAGTTTGTTAGCTCTGCTTAACACAAACGCCAGCCCCACACAAGAGTGCTCAACTGCTAGAAGAGCAGGAGCGAAATCCTCAATCTGCGGAAAGACCTGTTTCGTCCTTTGTGGACTCATCAGCGCAGCACAGAGGAAATAAGGCCAAAACTGATGGCAATGAAAAATATTTTTTTTCAAGGCCCTATTTAATCCAGGCCAGAACGTACCTTGCCAGAGTGCTCAACTGCTACAAGAGCAGGAGCGAAATACTCAATCTGCGGACAGACCTGTTCCAGACCTGTTTTGTCCTTTGTGGATTTATCAGAGCAGAACAGCTAAAATGAGGCCGAACCTGATAGCAATGAAAAATATATTTTGCAAGGCCCCATTTAAAGCCCTACTTAAACCAGGCCCGAACATACCTTGCCGGAGTGCTCAAACTGACAAGTCCGTGAGCTCTGCATAATGAAAACGGCATAACCGAGATACATAATTAATTTGGGTTAGAGGTTAGTTTTGGTATTTATCTCCATGGTCACCGAATACATGGATGACATCCACTGACGTATGAGGCCCTACAAGAAAATGTTCTCCTACAGGCATTATCCCTCATTCCATGTTGCCTTTTTTCCTATGCTCCCAGTATATTGGGGTCCTTTTGGACCCCAGGATCGTTTTGGCTGGTGTTTTGCAACTTGCAAATTATCCCGGCAAACTTCAGAGCTGTCAACAAATGCAGTTTGGTCAAAGCATTGGTCTATGGGAAGGTAACACAGCACAAAAGTTATATAAAATGGAGAGTTTGCAAGAATACCAAACAATATATTCCTGGGGTGCAAAAGGACCCCAATAAACTGGTAACGTAGTAAAAAAAGTAAACATGGAATGAGGGTGAAACTATACTGTTAAGCTTGGACTCGAAATTTCTGAGAAAACAACAATGGAGGCGTGAATTGGTCTTCAAGCTGATTCTCTTTTGGTTTTTCTGATCGCGTACAAGTACGTGTCGTGTTGACACGCTGGTGACTTCAAAGCGTATAGCGTTTAGTGTTTAGAGTATAGCATATCTCCGTACTGTATCCCCATACATTAGCGTATCCTCGTACATTAGCGTACGGAGTCTGCCTTTGTATCAAAGCTGCTGCTCACGATTCTTTTATAGCCAGTTAGTTAATTTAGTTGCCAGTCAGTTAATTTAGTTGCCAGTCAGTTTAAAATTAAGTAGCCAGTCAGTTAATTTCGTTTACAGTTAATTTCGTTGCCAGTACATTTCAATTGCCAGTTACAGTGTGTTCACTGAGACCCGTGTGTATTTGCCTCCAAGAGAGACTTCAGCCCGCTACAAATTGGTGGCAGCGGTGAATTAATTTTGTTTCATTCTATACCTAACTGTGTTACTTTACACGTTTCTCGGACCCCCATGGCTCAACCCGCTACAGCTCCGTGCGATGAATCAAGATGAGAATCATGTTTCTTCCCTTCCTGGGCTTGGCCCTGCTTATTAGCCTGCAGCACAGTCAGGGTGCTAGCGTTCCAAGCAGGGAGTAGTACAATACCGGGAGGTGACACGGGCACACATCCGGGATTACGAGCTTTGCCTCACAAAAAAAATACAAACCGCGCGAAAATTCAAATTTTTGCTCTTTTGACAGCGCTGAGACACCTTCAAATAGTGACGAGAAGACCAGACGTATCCCTTCGTGACAAGCTGCCACTTGTTCTTTTCAGCTCGAGCCTTTTTTGGGAGCTACTCTGGTACATCGTCCACACTGCTGCCAAGTCTCGACTTCCCAAAATGGATGGAAGTGACGAATATGGAGGACGCTATCCTAGGTAAGTAACGTGATGGAATTTTCTCATCTTGACAAGGTGTAACACGAACCAAAATTTCTCATTTGGACCCACTCGGACACCTCACCAAGTTGGGATATTTCGAAACTATACCTATTAATTTGTCTACCATTCTACTTCATCTCAACGTGTTAGATTGTGTAACTCTTTGGAAAACTCATTCCGAAAATTTTGAAACTTATTTATTTGTATAGACTTGAACATAATGTTCAAGATCACTTGTTTTCAGCACTGAATGAGGCCAGGCCTGCTTGCTTTGTTGCTTTTTTAACCCCCAGAACCCGTGGACAGAAGAGGAAGAGCGACGACTTGGGTGCGGCTGCGAAGTCTGCCTGCCCAACGCCAATTGCTCCTCACCCAAAAAGTAAACAAATTATATAGCAGGAGTGGTTTCAAGTGGTTTCAATGCATTGTGTTTTTGGGATGTTGGTGTGTACTTATGCAGTCCTAGCGTGTTGAGCAAAAGCAAAGCACTGCAACTATGCACCACCCCCCGTGGTACTTCACAACCGAGTTAGCCGCTTGATCCATGGTGCGGCGAGCAACCTCCATGTGCATAGGGTTGCTCGGAGCTGTGGCTGCTGACGCAGGCTTCCTATTCATAGTGAAATCAAGAAGAAGGGCAAATAGTGCACCGGACACTCTGACACCTGTACAAAACACCAATCCACGCACACACACACACACACACACACACACAAACATGCACTGTCTATGAAAAAAAAACACTTCAAAGTACAATTTGGTACAATAAATCTCTACAGCGCAATAGGAACAGAAAATGACCGGTATGATGATGACATTACCTGTACTTGCAGAACTGGTGTCTAGCTCTTGGAAAATGGTTGACGAATTGCGAAGTAAATCAGTCCACACATTTGAGACATTCGTGCACTCTCCTCTCCTTAATTTTCCTAAGGCCTTGTTCTTGAAAAACAACGTCTGCTGCTGCTCACAATTTATTATTGCCTGCCGAAAGTTAACTATGAATAGCTCCACGTTTGCAGGGTGCTTGTCCAGTGAGCAGAGTTGCTGAGCTACTGCCACCTCATGTTGGCAGTAGTGTTGCATGTCCGAGTCCTTGCAAAGATCTGGTGAGATGTAACCCAAAGAGAAATGAAAATGTGAATGACTGAAAGTCAACAAACTATACTCTGTTGAAGACACACTCTTACCTGCTGCTCATGTCAAAATACTGGACACACTGAAGGTATCCGGCTGAGGTACAATGGCTACTTGGCATACCTCGTCTGATTCCTCCTCGTCACTAGGAAAAACTAAAACATTTGTTGTCTCCATTGCACAGACAAACTTCTTGGACAGGTTCTGGAAAACAAGAATGACTATGGTGATGTTGTGGCACCAAAACCTTTTGTCACTGGCAAATATACACCCACACACCTACACACACGCGCGCGCACGTGCGCATACATACAACTATTCGTCTTTATCCTTTTGTGTTTGACATGATTCCACGGTGCCATGAAAGTAACATTGGTGCCATAAAAGTAACATTGGTTATAATCAAGGAGTAATGGTATTGTACGATTCTGATTGCGTATGCTCTTGGTGGCCATATATATCAGGAAGTAGTACAATACCGGTATTGTACTACTCCCTGATATATACTATAGTTCATCGTCACGCAGCTCCCCACAAAGTGCAAATTGTAGTAAAAGCAATTACGTACTAATACGTATAGTAATATGCAGACACATACAACTAGTAGTCACACAAAGTATCTATAATAAGCACACGTACTAGGAAAAGTACGTAAGCAGGCTATCTTTATCCTTTTGCGCTTGGTCTGATTACCTGCATACATGACTTACACGGCATGGTCACTTGCACCAGTAACATTGTACATAATTCCACACTGCCTTTATCATCAACACCAGTTCCTGTTAACGCGTAACATCTCAGGGAGTAGCACAGTGCCATTGTACCCTTGTGCTACTCCCTGCTTGACACAGACTTGCGTCATAGTGACATTTGCGAATAGCTGCCCCTGCAGCATAACATTTATTTTATTTTGTGTTTCTCTCTGACGACTATAGCATCTGGATTCGGAATAGCCTTACTATCTTGAGACGGGTCAGCCATACCTGAAACATGTTGTTCATTGTGACTAAAACTTGAGTCAACATTATCTATTCCCCTAGAAATGACGTGAATAACTAAATGTAATACAAATAGAATAGGAAGAAAATTTCACTCTTACAAGCCGCCCACGTAAATACTGGACACACTGAAGGTACCCGTGCGAAGGCCAGCTGCTACTTGATATCCTTCGTAGGATTCATCCTCATCACTCAGCAAAGACTGATGGATTCGTTCCCTACATCGTGAAAACAAACTTCAAAAAGTACTGCTCGAAAACTTCTTGACAGCATTCTGCCACTCTCTTCAAGTCATTCTATGAATTTTTTTGAAAAATGCTACGAAATGCTACGATAAATGGTACACGAAGTACGACAGTTCGTGACGTTTCCCGGGACACAGCGCTCCACAGAAAAGTGACCTGAGGCAAAGCTCGCCCGCCTGAATGTGTGCCCGTGTCACCTCCCGGTATTGTACTACTCCCTGGTTCCAAGCGACCCGCTACCTACATATATACTACCGGTGGTGATGGCGAAGCTGATGAGGACGACGAGATGCAGGCTGCTGACCAAGACAAGGATGGTATTCCCCAAGACCAGCAGCGTTTGATTTTCGCCGGCACGCAGTTGGCAGACGACCGAACCCTGGGTGACTACAACATTCAGCAGGAGTCCACTATTCACTTGGTACTTCGTCTCCGTGGTGGGATGCAGATTTTCGTCAACACTCTTCCTGGCTAGACCATCACTCTTTACGTCGCGCAAAGCGATGCTATCGACAATGTGAACACCATGATTCAAGACGAGGAGGGAGGCTATTTGGCGGACGCCGAGCTAGCCGCTCTGAGTGACCGGCTCTACCAAGATGAAGATAAAACCTGGCTCCTGGCCTGCCAAGTTAGCTGTCTTTCCGCTTCAAACTTGCTCGAACTACTCCTGGCAGTCTGGAGGTTGATCTCGCCAGTGATTGTCAGCCTCTGCTTGGCGTGCTCGCGTGTACAACATTCAAGTTAGACATTTCGTAATCGTTCAACCCGCAATAGGGTGAATACCACAAATTCAAGCTCACTTGGCCGGCTGCTGTCTTCTTCTACAATATCCCACATGCCGACTAAGCAAGTTACAGCGGGAAGCAGCCTTCTACACTCAACTGCAACTAAAGGGTCACACCATTTGTCTTCCAAATCAAGAGAAAACCGGCTCCGGACTCGTCGCGCGTATTTAGAAGTTCATGCGCGTATTCTAATGACACTTGGGGAAGACAACCAGAGGATAGTCGTCTACCTGGGAAACTATCGATTTAAGCTGGGAAAAAAATCGGGAAGGGCTTCTCGGAGCCGAGTTTGTCAGCGACGACACAAGGAGTATTCCAGAACGAAGCCAAAGTCGCACAACACAGAACAAATGTTTTTTGAAGGAAAGGCAGTCATGTGAGGTACGAGCGGAAAGCTTGAAACAAGACGCAGATGATCAGCGTGGTCCCCAGGCTGTCCGGGCTGAATAGTCTCCGAAATCCAGGGGAAACCATGGCCTACTCGTGTTCTGACGATTTGAAAATTCAAAATTTCTTGCCATTGAAGCCCAATCGAGACTTTCGGCGGCCATATTGTTAAGTGGCGTGAAATTGCACAAAAAAAACAGCCGCGAGGGGTTAATGACTACTTAAGTGTACGGGCAGGGGTGGTCGCAACACGAGCATACAAAGTTTTGTACTTATGTGTACGGGCAGGGGTGGTCACTACACAAGCATACAGAGTTGTGCAACAGCAGGGATATCTCGGGTTTGAAGGGAGTACGAGAAGGGATTTCGCGAAGCCGGGCGGGCAAGCAATTAAAGTAATGAAGGGCCTTGTACGTTGTTGTTATTGTTGTTGTTTTTTTTACTTCACCAAATGAACAGGCAGAGATGCCTTCTCACTTGCCCATAGGACAGGTTCTCACAGAATGATGAAGGGATGATATGCAAGGGAAAACAAGAAATGATAATAATATAAAACAGAAATGACCAAAAGAAGAAAAGGAAAAAATTATATATTAACTGGTTTTGAGGGAAAGAGACAAACGGAAAAAGTCTGAAGAAAAAATTGACTGTCACCACCAGGACTCGAACCAGTGACCTTCGCTTGTAGCCAGCGATGCTCTAGCCACTAAGCTATGGTGTAGTCGTCATCCCAAAAAATTATATGAAGACAATTTCATGGAGTCAGAAATAGAAAGACAATAATTTCATGGAGTCAAAGAATAGAAAGACAATTCAATGGAGTCAGGAATACGTGGTTTATTTTTTAGACATGCATGCACAAATGATTGATAGATGAGAGGGTTGGAGTTTATGGCAGATAATAAAGGTATAACGAGGATATTCACAAGGTAAGTATATCAATTGCAGAAAGAGCTCTTCGGAAGGGACCAGGGACACCTATCACTCTGAAATCAGAGGGGAGAGCGTTCCAGAGAATGCTTCCCCGAAACATCATGGTCGATCATCCCGCAGGCCCATGAAGATAGGGAACTTGAAGCAAGTTCGACACTTGTCCCCGTGTGGTGCGCTGATCCTCTGGAACAGTCCCTGGGGCCGTGCGGGTGAATAATTGGCGAAGAAGGGGGCTACAGGAGGAGTTAATGCATCGATGAACAAATACGACAATTTTGTGTGTACATATATGTGGTAGACTAACAATGCGAGTTCGTGAATAATGTAAGGAAATTTGGTCAGCAGTCGGCAGAGAACTCTGGATCGCTGTTCCTGTGCTCTTTCGATGTAGTCAGCCTCTTTACAAACGTGCCTCTCAAGGAAACAAAAGATATCTGCATACAGTCGCTTAACCATGATGATGAAATATCAGCCCCGCAAATACCCCAAGATATTTTCAAGAAGCTGCTTTCCAAAGCCACATCAGATGCGCAGTTCAGTTTTAATGATAATATGTACGCACAGAGGGACGGAGTCGCCATGAGTTCACCATTGGGCCCCGTGCTAGCCAATATCTTTGTTGGATATTTTGAGAACACAATTCCAGATAGGCATTGGCCCTAATTTTATAGGCGTTACGAGGATGACACATTCGCAGCACTTCACAACCGGAAACTGGCATTGGAATTCCCTGAGCATTTAAATAATATTCAACCAGCTCTCCAGTTTACAATGGAGGAGGAGAATAATGGAGAATTGCCGTTTCTTGATGTATTGATTTTAAAAGCATTCTTCCACAGAATTGCTCACCACAGTATATAGAAACCCGATGTTCACAGGTCTTTACACTCGCTGGAACTCGTTTTGTGACACTAAAAACAAAATTAATTTGATGAGATCATTTTACCCTTCAGAGGTGAAAACATCTGATCACCATCACAATTATCAGCTGAAATTGCTAAGCTAGAGGATATTCTGTGTTCTAATGGCTACCCACCCAAAGTACTCAAGCGAGTCATGACAAGCGTTCTTGAACCTAGCCTAGATATAGCTTCTGCACAACTTGAATCTGGAACGCGTATTATCACAAAATTGCCGTGGTAAGGTCAAAATTGCAATGCCTTGTTTATCAAGAAGCTCCTGCTGGTATGGAGATAGCACATCCTAATTGACGGAAAGACGTTCCGGAGCAACTGGATAATCGTTGTGCTCCTCAAGAAGTTCGTGTGGATATTCCAGATCACACTGAACGATATACCCCGATGAGCAATCATAGACGAGCCCCATCAAGCGATGCAGCCTGCTCCACCAGCTTGAAGTCATTTTCACTTGATGCAGCTCGCTGCTTGCCGGTGCATCTTTTTGCGTTAAAAGCAGCCTCCCTTATGCATTCAGTCCGGCGTCTTTCCCACGATGTGTTGTTCTTTTTGACTAGTTCAGCAACCCGAGCCTCTGTGATTTTCACTGACGCGCCAAGTTCCGTCTGACTCATCCTCTGGAACGACGGGATTTCCAGACCACCAAGCCGGGTGGGCAGTCTCAGCATGCGTAAGTCCTCCTCGGTGAAGGCACCACGACCCGTCAGTGCTGGGAGAAACTTGAAAGCGATGATATTGTCTAAGCTCTTGACGCACTCATCCGGGAGGGGCACAGTGCGGAAAAGGTACACCCACCTACACCGTAAACCATAGGTTAGTGCTGCATAGGCAGCATGTAGTTCCGTCTTGGCAAACCGAGACAGCTTCCGCAACTCCCGCGACCAACCATCCACCATCTTCCTCACCCAGACCAGCCACCGGCTCAGGCTCACCAAAAAAGTGACCCGCCGTCCTGTGGTGTGCCAGAGTGTGATATTGTTAGGTACAAGTACATTATGTCATTTATCATAGCATGTTTCTTTTCTGTCATACTACTGAGAGTGTATGGCATACTTATTCTATGACAGTTCTCGCTTCATTGAATTTTGCTGCGTTTGAGTAGGGTTCCAATTTACTTATCACATTCTTGCTTTCATGCAATTGTTTTCAGATCCTTGACTTGTGTTTTACTCCTCCTATAAAGGTTTACCGCCTGGTATGTTAGCGGCCATCACTGAACCCAAATATTCGCAAATATTTTTAGTCCCCTTTTCTCCTCTCCTTTTGTAGACGCCTGAACCATAATCAACTTGCAAGCCTTCCTACAAATCTGTTTGCCAACCTATCAAATCTTGGGCAACTGTAAGTTTACCGTCATTCCGGGTTGTGGGGTCCAAAGGGTCCCCAGGGGTATGATTTTTGAAATATTTTTACTTTGCTGCATCACATCTCCTGGAAATTTCTTGTATTCCTCAACAACACAATACCCTAGATAAATACTCAATCTGCGGACAGACCTGTTTCGTCTTTTGTGGACTCGTGAGCGCAGCACAGAGGAAATAAGGCCAAATATGATTACAATGAAAAAATTCCAAAATCCTATTTTAATTAAACCAGGCCAAACGAACCCTGTCATAGTGCTTAAACTGACAAGTCAGTGAGCTCTGCATAACACAAACGCCAAAAGCGCTACCCCACACAAGAGTGCTCAACTGCTAGAAGAGCAGGAGCGAAATCCTCAATCTGCGGAAAGACCTGTTTCGTCCGTTTTGGACTCATCAGCGTAGCACAGAGGAAATGAGGCCAAAACTGATGGCAATGAAAAATAAAATTGTCAAGGCCCTATTTAATCCAGGCCAGAACGTACCTTGCCAGAGTGCTCAACTGCTACAAGAGCAGGAGCAAAATACTCAATCTGCGGACAGACCTGTTCCAGACCTGTTTCGTCCTTTGTGGATTTATCAGAGCAGAACAGCTAAAATGAGGCCGAACCTGATAGCAATGAAAAATATATTTTGCAAAGCCCTATTTAGAGCCCTACTTAAACCAGGCCCGAACATACCTTGCCGGAGTGCTCAAACTGACAAGTCCGTGAGCTCTGCATAATGAAAACGGCATAACCGAGATACATAATTAATTTGGGTTAGAGGTTAGTTTTGGTATTTATCTCCATGGTCACCGAACATATGGATGACATCCACTGACCTATGAGGCCCTGTAGTATCCCTGCCCGACCAATACGGAAGCAGTACGGAACTAATGCGGAGCTTTGCCTGATGTATATTTAGTGTATCTCCGTATGTAAGCGTACGGTGTCTGCTGCATAAAAGCGGCTGCGCATTTCTGTTTTGATGAAGATGAGAGATTTTGATAAATATCGAGCTATTCAACCTCCAGGTGTGCACCGGAGAGAAAGTCAGTTATTTTGCCGTTTCTTCTTTCACTAATAATTATATCTCAGGTGTGTACCTGAAAGAAGTAGAATAAAAGTAATTCTTGTTGATTTCACCGCGCCTACCACTCGGCTACCCATTACAGCCCTACAAGAAAATGTTCTCCTACAGGCATTATCCCTCATTCCATGTTGCCTTTTTTCCTATGCTCCAGTATATTGGGGTCGTTTTGGACCCCAGGATCTATTTGGCTGGTATTTTGCAACTTGCAAATTATCCCGGCAAACTTCAGAGCTGTCAACAAATGCAGTTTGGTCAAAGCATTGGTCTATGGGAAGGTAACACAGCACAAAAGTTATATAAAATGCAGAGTTTGCAAGAATACCGAACAATATATTCCTGGTGTGCAAAAGGACCCCAGTAAACTGGAAACGTAGTAAAAAAAGTTAACATGGAATGAGGGTTTAACTACACTGTTAAGCTTGGACTCGGAATTTCTGAGAAAACAACAATGGAGGCGTGAATTGGTCTTCAAGCTGATTCTTTTTTGGGTTTTCTGATCGCGTACAAGCATGTTTATCGTGCATTATTCTTATTTCGGAGACTCCAGTGAAACTCTTCAAATCTTGTCTTGGTGACTGATTGACTTTTATGCTGCACAATGTGTCTACAAAGTCTTTTTTGTTTTGAATTGTCTTTCAAAGATAACGCATTCATCAAGATTTCAATTTGGACTGCTATTCGACCACTCTCTGACTCTCTGACTCTCTGACCCAAGCAGGAGTTTAGCGAGATGAACATGAGTTACCCAGCAAACTGTTTCTAGTATCGTGATGTCCTTTTCATGGGAACACACATTTTGGCTTTTTTCATATCAGGCCACATTAGATGAAATGATTTGCCAAGCTGATAAATATGGTGATAAAGACACACCTGGCAATATGGCGGTAAACACACGCCACGCTCTCTAAGCTGCAAAGTTCTGGCACAGAGCTCTCCTTCTCACCACCACCACCATCAGTTTGCACCTGGCGCCTGGTCAATGCATGGTTGGCGGTATCCGACATAGCAGGCTGGTACATCAAGTAGCGCATGGCACATAGAAGATGACACAGCAACAACATAACTCGATTGCGACGTACGCTTCGTCCCCGCTGGATTCATCAGGCAATCTTCTTCTTGGATGTTTTCATACGGAGCTTGACTCGGCAGAATTAAGTTGAAGACACCATTGCAGCTGTACTTATGGTTGATGAATATGGTGGTAAAGACACACCTGGCAATATGGCGGTAAACACACGCCTGCCCACACACGCTCTCTAAGCTGCAAAGTTCTGTCACAGAGCTCTCCAGGCGGAATGCCCAAAACCAACATGAAACGAATCCAATCATACATAGTTCAACTAACTTCAGAAAAGAACAATTTAAAATCCAGACCTCTGAATGTGATGTAAACGGCCATTGTCTCTCAGCCACTCACAGGCGTCCCTCAGCTACCGCCAACTCACGCAGTGCGTTGACTGGTCGGTGGTACGATGATCTAGCTTCGCGAATGCACATAATAGTTGACCGTAATAATCCAAAGGCGAGGCGACAGCGTACATATGTCGTCATCCCTGCATACTTCTTTTTCTCTCCCCTGGAAAGCAGACCACACAAACGCTTGATGAAACGCGAGCACTCTGGCGCACAACAACCGGCCGTGGTGAAAATGAGAGGAGTGAATGTACCACGATCCACATTGATTATGCGTTCAGCAAACTCAGATTTCTTTCTGCGCTGGTGCTCTGCCAAAACGCAGCATAGGAAGGCGCATCAGGGTTAAATACTCGAACGTCCATGTAGGCGTTCTGGGCCCGGGTCCACAGCCCCCTCGCGCGAATGTCTGCCCGGGCATCATCCGCTGTATTCGTAGACGCCGCGACAAACACCTCACCAGACAAGAGTCTGCCGCTCGAACTTGTATATGCGGATGATGCAGACTTTGTCAGCACCTCAAAGTCCTGGCTGGCGGACGTGGAGGCGACTGTCAGCACGGTGCTACCATAGTGGTCCCTGATCATGAACCGGGACAAAACTGAGTATACGGACATCTTCAGAAGTGCGGACAGGATCGATGAAGAGTGGAGGACAACGCGCAAGCTGGGTTCGCTGCTGCACGAAATAGCACTATTATTATCACTCAGGCTGCAATATTCAATGACATATAGCCATATTCATAAATGACATATCTTCAATACCCGTGAGCTACATTGTATATGATAATTAAATCATTATATCATCGTTCTAGCTCACTCGTACATGCAAGTAAGAAATAAAAATAAATGCCTTGTTTTTACTATGATCTTATAATCTTGTTCGAGTTCCTTCAATCACAAACTGACTGTAAAGAAGCGTCATCTTCATCGGTTTCTATTGAACTGGCCTGTGATTCCGCCAAGCGTGCCAAAGCTGCTGCTGCAAAACGTCGCGTGGAAATCGATAACCTGCGATGTGCTGACGTGCGTAGGATGCCAGATGCATCAACTGTTCGCCAGCTTGAGCACCTTTCCGCCAAGGGTGTCTCTGGCTGGCTGAATATTCTTCCCTTGAAGGAGCATGGTTTCAGCCTGTCGAGTTGTGACTTCCGCGATGCCATTGTATTGAGATATGGACGGCCTCTGAAAAATGTACCATTATTGTTAGTATGTTGCAAGGATTTCACTCCAGCACATGCCATGTGCTTTCCGACGGGAGGGGGGGGGGGGGGGCTTCCCCACCGTCAGGAACAATGTTATAATATTAGGAAGTGCGTGACATCTTTGCTGATTTGCTACCTATAGTTTGGCCTGATGTAACGATTGAACGTTTGTTAGCTCCCTTTCAGGGTGAAGTATTCACTGCAGCCAGTACAATCACAGCAAGTGACACAAGGTCGGCCATTCGCGCACTTCGAGTATGAGGGTTTTGGACTCGTGCGCAAAACGTATTAAATGTTATCGATGCACTAGTGTTCCATCCACATGCAGCTCCATATGCTTGTAGGAATATTTCTGCGCTTTTTCTGCAACACGAGAGGCAGAAGAAATTGCAGTACAATGAAGAGATTGTGCATGTTCACCTTTCGAACTTTACTCCGCTTGTCTTTTCCACGACTGGCAGAACATCCCACGAATGTTTCTTAAGCGCTTGCGTGGCATGTTTGCGAAGCATGATGGCAAACCTTATGGGCAAGTGATGTCTTACCTGCAATGTCAGCTATACTTTGCGGTACTTCGCGAAACCATCATGTGTGTAAGAAGAGCGCGCTCCACGTAACATCGCCCTATCAATGCCTTGCGCCCCTTGGAGATGGCCGAGGGTAGGATGTAGTCATTTCCTGTGGTGTGCCGGAGTGTGATATTGTTAGGTACAAGTACATTATCACATTTCTCTTAGATTGTTTCTTTTTGTCATACCACTGAGAGTGTATGGCATACTTATTCTATGACAGTGCTCGCTTCATTGAATTTTCCTGTGTTTGAGTATGGTTCCAATTTCTCTATCACATTTTTGCTTTCATCCAATTGTTTTCAGTATTTTTGTTGTGTTCTATTCCTCCTATAACGGTTTACCCCCTGGTTGGTAAGCAGCCATCACTGAACCAAAATATTCACAAATAGTCTTTTACAAAGGGAGAGGAAAAAAAGTTCATTAAAATGAACTTTATTCCTCTCCCTTTGTAGATACCTGGAGAATAATCAACTTGCAAGCCTTCTTACAAATGTATTTGCCAACCTTCCAGCCCTTCAGTTCCTGTAAGTTGACCCTTATTCCGGGTTGTTGGACCCTAACAGACCCAGGGGTATGATTTTTGAAATATTTTTACTTTGCTGCATCATTTCTCCCTGAAACTTCATGTATTTCTCACAGTCACAATACCTGAAGTAAATAATCAATCTGCGGACAGACCTGTTTCGTCCTTTGTGGATTCATGAGCGCAGCACAGAG